ATACTAGATTGTGTCTGTAAAAATGGCATGCATTTTCATGTAAATTTATATGTTCATATGAAATTATATATTATTATTACTAATACATTCTAATACTATGAGCAACTGGATAAAATGTAACTGAAACACTTCATGCAATGCATGATGACGCGCTGAGAAAACAATAGTGGTTTACGAATTTCACGCATTTCACACATGTATTACTACGTTGACACCTTGTCAAGGTGGCTACCTACAGAAAATTCATCAGGGCAAACGTTTTCACCAATAAATATTGCACTTTCTGGGACCAACCACTATCTTAAATTAGATGTTGTGAAAATGCCGGTGGGTTCAAACTGAGCCTAAATAGACACATTAACATGTCCGCTCGTCCAAAAGATCACAACTGTTGGTAGAATGGAAATTGAAAGCCAGTCCAGCCTCCAGTATAGCCAAATAATCATAACCCGACTCTTTTCCTTACACAGAGAACGTTTAACTAACTTACTGGTTTTCTCTTCTCTATAATCTTTACTTAGTTGTGTTGGCATAAGTAATAATTATATTGGCAACCACACCTAATATTTGTTTTATGTATAAACAGTTAATAAGACAATGATGTTTTTGGGTTGAGATGACTTTATTTAGTCAGTAACTACCTTTTCTCATATACTTTTCTAAAATGTATAATTTTATAATATTTTGCAGTGTTTTTACATCATATAAGTTGAAGGCTTGCTTTGCAATTTCTGATGCGTATCGTATCAAAGTACTTATGGATTGGAAGAAAGCATACTTATTCAAACTACCACAAAAGAGACTTAAGTCAATGCAAAAACTGGCGCGGAATTATCCTCCTGTCCATCCCAAGCAAAATACTAAGCCGCATCATCCTGGAGAGAATCAAACAAGCCAACGTGGATGCAAAAATTCGACTGGAACAACGTGGATTCAGGGGGAATAAGTCATGTATTGATCAAATCGCCACTCCACGAATCATCATTGAACAAAGCTTGGGATGGCAATCACCTCTCTATCTCGCTCAACTTCATCGACTTTGAAAAGGCCTTCGACAGTGCAGCGTCAATCGAGAGATGATTTGGAAACTACTTCGCTACTACCAAGGGGTCCCATCGACAATTCTACATCTCATCCAACAGTTAGTTGTACGAAAATGCTTCTTGCCAAGTAATCCACTACGGGAAACTTACGGAAGCCTTAGAAGTGAGGACGGGAGTGAAACAAGGCTGCCTACTAGCGCCAATGATCTTCCTGATTGCAGTAGATTGGATAATGCGACAGACAACAGGCAATGAGGAAACAGGCATTAAATAGACTCACAAAAATAACTTGGAGGATCTGGATTTCGCCAGAGATGATATGTATCTGATCTCCCACAAACTGGAAGATATACAAGTGAAAAGCAACAAGTTGGCTATAGAAGAAGCATCCAGAGAGGATATGACTTCAGGTGAACATAGATAAAACAGTGGTGATGAAGATTCCTGGCCAACACCAACAGAAACAGTAACAACAGACAACAATTAGCCTGCATAAATGGGAGGAACTTGAAAGAAACAACCTCCTTCACCTACCTGGGAAGTATCGTTTCAACTACAGGCGGAACTGACGAGGATATCAAAGCCAGAATCGGAAGAGCAAGACAGGCTTTCATTACTCTCAAATCTGTGTGGAGGTCAACATCACTCAGAATGAGAAATAAGACCCGGATTTTCAACTCCAATGTGAAGCCAGTCAGTGTTACTTACCATACGAACTAGAGACTAAGCGCGTCATAAAGAGCATCTCAAACAAACTTCAGACCTTCATTAATAGTTGTCTTCGCTCAGTACTTCGTTCAAGATCAAATGGCCGGCCAGAAAAGATCAGTAACAGTGAGGGATCTCTGGCAATGAGCGAACCAACCTGGCCGGGACCGATTGTGAAACAAATAGTCAGAAAGAAATGGAGATGGGTTGGCCATACGCTGAGAAAACCATCAAGGGACATCACTAGACAAGCCATTTGTCGAGTGGAACCCGAAAGGGAAGTGGAGAGTTGGTCGTCAGCGTGAGGGTACCTTGTAGGAGGTCATGTGAAGGGGAGATGAGAGCATGTGGACAAACTTGAAGCGAGGTGAATTTTGGCAGAAAACCAAAGGCAATGGAGATTCGCAGCTGAAGCCCTACGTTCCTCTAGGAATTAAAGGATATAATAATGATGGTATGAAAATCGGTCGTGAAAATGTAGGATACCTAGTTCTGTTAACCAGCTGTTTTCTTCAGGATCATTATACATGATTTTATCACTAGCTGTTCCACTATCAACTTTACTCTTCTCAATACACTATAACTTAGTTGCTGTAATACAAGCTACTTCTATACTTAAAGTAAGCACTATTTCTTAGGCGTTTGTAACGAATACTTGTATAGGTGTTTGCATGGATGTATTTTGAGACCGCTAAGAATGTCCTCAGGTATCGATATATCTGATGACCTAATTGGAAGCGCTTGTCATGAAAGCTATTAATGTACGGCATACTGTATGACTGAGACGGGCTCAAATCAATGCGATGCTGCAACTACAGTTGTTGCAAGAAAACTCAGAGCTTAACGTCAAAAAGGAGGGATGGTGGCGCATGCTGATCAGCAGAAATGGAAGCGGTCACAAATGTGAATCGCTCCGATCTGTATGACAGCAACATGCATTGTTTGGCAGCTCGAGAATTAAACATTAGTCTGGACTCTCAACAAAATATAATAAGAAGGGTTGTACAGATCTAAACTGTAAATAAAAAAGTGCTTTTGCTCCTACCATCTACAGGCCTACTCAGCTTCTTGTCAAGATGTTACCCATTTGGCCCAACAGAAATTCGTGAGGCATCTTACAGGCCAGCTTGTCCTATGGGTTCTAATCTTCTATATCTTTGAATTCGCTCCTCACTTAAACATCACTTACCTGCCCTACATTAATCTTTCTATTCACGCACTATAATACTCTACTTTATGTTAACTACCTAGGCCATTATTAGAGCTAAAACTTGCTCTTTGTTCATATTTGTTGCTTGTTTAAAGTCTAGTTGCTTTGATTAAAAACACTACAACACCAATGTTTGAACAAAGCTATATCTTCATCGAAAACATCAAAGTTTCCGTGATCAGAGCAGTATGGTTAACATTAAACATTGCAGATGTATACTATCATTTCAAGTGATATAAGAATAAAACTTGTGCACTGTGGTTGAGTGTAATTCCATTATGGGTAAATTTTGTTTTGATAGTCTCACAGTGTTATACAGTAATGTTTACTGATGACGTTTCGAGCACAATTTATTGCTCATAATCATATCAAGGTGTCATTTCAAGTACTATATAGCATTTTCTTGTATATATCTAGTGAATATACTTCCAATAATGTATTAATCATAACTGCATTTTATACTATTTTGCAGCTGCGCAGAATTTTCTTCTTTTCCTGAAATAGCATTCAATCAGGTGGTGGCATATCATTCACCCACATATACGCTGTTCACTGGTTGACCGTAACTATCAGCAGGCAAAGGAACGAAGTTTGGGTTGTCGCCCAACTTTGATGGTGATCATAGTAAACGGTTTACAATTTAACATTTATAAGAACTTGTTCTGATTGCTTGTACAATAATTGAACAATTTAAACTTTTGAGAAAGTATTAATTTATTATACTTCAGGATCGTAATTTATAATAATACTGATCGTGCCTGTAAAAATGGCATGTATTTCTTGTAAACTTACCCGTTTATACGAAATATAAATTATTATTATTCATCTTGTCAACTATACAGTGTCGTCGGAATGATATATAAAAGAGATATAGGTAGTCGAAATAAGTGCATATATTTGCAAGAGAATCACTCGCAGAAATTTGGTAGAAAAGGATTAAGATAGGCCCCAAGCCTTCTATCCTCGACCGATAAAACTGAAATCTGAATCTAATTCATTACGCCCTTCCCAGTTCCTTAATGACTGCTTAATCTGAGTAACCATAGCGTTCTGGGTTGAAAAGACCCACAGTCCATTGATCTAAAGGAGTAGTTGTCACACACCATGCACAAGAAAGGACCACAGTAGATCTAACCTACCCAAAACTTATGTAAATTATGAGTAGAAACCAAGAAGCCAAACTGGTTGATGTAAAGGGTATCCAGCTACCCATGACAATCAGTCAGTTGTGTGTATCATTATATGTTCTGTGTATCAAAGAACTACCTTGGCTCGTCAAATCTCCTACAATTCTGTAGTAAGAGTACCTACAACTACGAAAGGACTTAAGAGCGCAAGAGACATGCTTAGGCTTAAAAGGGGGATCAGCAATCTGTTAAGCTGCTCCGAAGAATCGATGCTTTCTAAACAGAAGAAATGCTAGTATCTTCAGCTTCGACTCACATGGATCTTAGCATCATATCTGGCGATTACCCGAAAACATGAACACCCAATTCTGCAAACGTAGTTCATAGCTCTAGGTCTTTATAGCCAGTACAAAGGGTTCAATTAATACACATCTCTGAGGAGATAAGAAACAAATTTAAAGTCGGAGGAGAATATATATTGCTGTGCAATACTGTCTGGCTCACCAAGTCATTAACTCTTGAGACTGGCTTTCAAGAAAAGGGAATAGGTAAGCGGGAATAATTAATAGGAAAGGATTAACATAAAATTGGAATTTTCGAGACAACCAAAACATGGATGATGTTTTTAAGCTCTTTGAGGAGAAGGTGAACAATTTTTCCATATGTTCTCTCTTAATTTTAGGTTTGTCATTGGACATTGAAGACGAAGTTTATTATACGATTTCACGCGGGCATGTTTCGATATGTTGTTTCGCACGTTTGTTTTTCTTGTTTTTGTGAGTCTGACTTATACTTTGCAATCTAACGAGAGTTATAACTGCGAAAACCTTTTGCCTGGTCAATATCTGTGTGACTCCCCATTGATAGATGAACTGACTCAGCAACCCAGGAATTGTTCACGTACTCTAAAAGCTCCAGGTAATCTTTTAATCCTATGTAATCACTACAACCAAGTGAATTGTAGGCCAGCTCCTGGAATACGTTGTGACGGAAAGCTTTTCAGTGGTTATGAAATTGGCTTTCAAAAATTAGTAGATTGCCGTCGAGTGTAGTTTGGTCATTTTTCGTTAAATAAAAATTTATATAGGACTGGATATAAGTTTGATTTCGCATTGTTGTTGTCAGTTTTTGGTGGGTTGTTTGGGTTGGATCGTTTCTATCTTGGATACCCAGCCCTAGGTCAGTGCTGTAAATACTTATATATTTTTCATGCAGGTTGCTTAAAATTCTTCACTTTTGGGGGGTTCGGACTGTGGTACCTGTGTGATATATTACTTATCTCAGTTGAAGTGAGTGGACATTACAATTTTTTGTTCTAAGGAACCTGGGAAGTAAAGTCTAATGTTGGACGGTGCATATTTCTCTCTCTCTAGTAAGGTAGCTGGGTTAAGTTTGTGATTAATGTCTAAAAATAGTAATCAGATCAAGTAGTTATCTAGATTTAATTCATTGCTGGTAGTCCATTATTAAGCTTAATGTGCAGTTTGGAGTTCGCCCTTTTCAATTTTAGTCATTATAGTGCCAACCAACAACTATGTGATGACGTCCAAGTACAGTACTATAATCCCATTAAAGTTATTGATCATACTAATGTTACTCGACAACTGTGTGCATGTTAATGCACGTGGCAATGAGCTGTACTTGTGCTTGCTGCAGTAATATAACTTGGCTTCCCAAAACTAGAAATTGTAGGACCGAGTCCAGACATAGTGGGAAGACGATGAAACCATGTTACCGATTCTCTTATTTATTTATTATTTTTGATTACAGCTTGATTCCACACTGTATTTTTGGTACAAGTATTGAATTTTCAGCATGGATATCCGTAGCCCAAATTTTTCGGGCCGACCATAGATATCAGGTGTGCGTCGGCCGGGGATCGAACCTCGGACCATGTTCACGATCGGCTAGTCCTAACCACTGTGCCACCGACGCACAGACGTATTGTCGGAAGGCGATGAAACCATGTTACCGATTCCCTGAGTCATCTCACCAATTTATCATTGATACGTTAGAGAAGACGCAATGCTCCGAGTGGCACACTCAAATGATAATTCTAGGTTGTGGTGCTGTTGAAGCTTATTCAAACCAACTGACTCAGGGTTTCATTGCATCTGTAAATTACTAAAATTATGTGTACGTTTTAAATCGGCTTTGATTATTCATCTCCAGTAATTGAGGAGTCATGTGAAAAAACTACTAGAAACGAAGGTTCACACGCTTTTTATGTTCTGAGATTCAGCGTTTACTTTCTGATCTGCCTGGTTTATTTTACTATACTTTTTGCTTGCCAAATTTAGTATATCACTCAAATGATTAAAAGCATAGTGTGTGCATGAAAAATCCCATGTGCTAGGTAACAAAATGAAGGTGGACAAACTACTGTGCGTCGGTGGCACAGTGGTTAGGACTCTCGCCGATCATGCACATAGTCCAGGGTTCGAGCCCTCGCCGACGCACACCTGATATCTATGGTCGGCCTGCGAATTTCGGGCTACCGATATCCAAGCTGAAAAGTCCATACTTGTACCAAATATACGGTGTGGAATCAAGCTGTAATCAAAAAATAAAAAGATAAAAAAATACATTGCACTGATCGAGGCACTGTACTCGAACTCGCGGGCTCGTTTCGCATATGCCAGGTCATGCCATTTCTGACATAGACGTGATATCCGACTATCGATCAAAGGACGTGTATACTGCTCAACAGTCTGCTCTGTTTTCCTTTATAACCGTGAAACCTGGCCATCGAAAGTAGAAGACATGAAAAGCCTGACAAGTTGTCTTTGATCATAGGTGCCTGCGTTGTATCTCCCGTGTTAAGTGGTATAGTGGGGTGAGAGCAGTATTGAAGTGAGGCATCGGTTGATTGCTAGGTAAGTAGGGAGGAGAAATCAATCGAGGAGGTTGTGAGATGGTTAGGACATGTGTTACTCATGCATGAGGTCTAGCTATCTCCTTCTTCGATGGGTAGTGTTATCTGACATAGGATGAAACAGGTTCTGTCTATCTGTCTGTTTTCGACATAGAACTTTACACAAATGTGCGGAAGTTCAAGTCGCCACACTCCGTGTAGCTCACAAAGCAAGAGAAGAAAGTAGAAGAAATGCATAATAGAGAGACAGTAAACAGAGGTGTGAGACAAAGGAATAGTAGTAGCGAAGAACAAAACAGTTTCATTGGAGATCATAAGTCACAAGGAGTGGTTGCATCTGCACCAGCCGGCCATTGAGAACGATTTTGAGCCATATCACCAATTGTTTCCAACCATTGATTTTTACCGTCCCGAGGACCCCAGCCTTCCTCCGTGGCTTAGACTAACTGTTGTGGATTTCATTGACTGGTGCCAAGTTTTTGTTTGACCGCCGCTAGCTTTTTTCCAGCCTGACCCTATATCTGCTAACATTGCCCATTGTCGAGGAAGGCGGTGACTTGGCATACGTAACACATGTCCTAACCATCTCAGTCTTTGTAACTTCACGACTTCGTCGATTGATTTCCCCTGTTTACCTAGAACTCTACGCCTAACTTCAATGTTGCTCACCTTATTATGCCACTTCACACGGGAGATAGAGCGCAGGCACCTATGATCAAAGACAGCTAATCTTTTCATGTCTTCCACTCTCAGTGGCCAGGTCTCACAGCCATAAAGGAGGACGGAGCGGACAGATGAGCAGTGCACTCGCCCTTTGGTCGATAGTCGAACATCCCGTCTAAGCCAGAGTCGGCGTAAACCGGTAAATGCGAAACGAGGACCTTGTATTCGTGCTGAGATTTCGTCAGAGATCAACCCGTTGGCCCTGGCTGATGGTACTTCCCAAATAAGTGAAGCGGTCAACGTGCTCTACCACTTCACTTCCTATTTTTAAACTAGGCGTCGATGTAGTCCAGTCCTGTAACATCATCTTGCATTTGGTGGGAGCGAATCGCATGCCAAACATCCGTAGATTGCGGCTCAAGGTGTTTAGAAGACTCAGCATTTTGTCAGCGTCTTCGCCTAGAAGGACTATATCGTCTGCATATTCCAAGTCAACGAGATTATTCCCCGGTAGCTAGTCAATCCGTGAGCCGCTGAAGTCACTTAGGGTTAAGTCCATTAGTTCATCTATGATGAAGTTGAATAGAAAAGGGGATAATGGGCATCCTCGACGGACACCACTAGTCGCCCGACCGAAAGCTGCTACCTTGACGTGGTGGTCGGGCTTGAACACCGCAATGATCTATTCAAGCTATACTGGCTGAGACTTATGTCTCTTGAGGTCCTACCATGCCAGGCAGGTTGTTTGGATAGCGGTTAAACAAAAAGCAGCTACCCAATCCAACATCATGTCCAATACAAAATCACAAAATTTCATGCCGGATCGGCCGTGGCCCGGATTAACAACGACCGCGCTTCCTGCTGCCGTGTCACAGGGCAGGAGTGATAAGTATGCTACTGAGGCACACCAAACAAAAGAGAACAAACAAAAACAGGCCGCGTGTGACCGGCCTCAAGCAGTTGTCCCCTGGGCTCTGCGGTCACGCAACCAACTTCCACGGTGTGGGCAGCCGGGAAGTAACAATCGCCCTCACAATCCGAAACGCACGCGAAACCTCTCTATTACTCACTCATCTTTGTCTTCATCTTCATCTCTATCATCTTGCCTTCCTTCCACTGATGCAACTCCTCGACTTGATAGCTCTCCACTTCCTCTCCACTCTGCGTCCACTAAAAACGATGGAAGCCAAAAAACCACCACCGACAGCCTCTTAAAGCCGCGCCACCAATTTCATATAGGAGCTCTTAATGTTAGGACACTTTGCCAAATAGGACAACAAGCATCACTAGCCAAGACCCTGGCATCACGAGCCATTGATGTATGTTGTGTTTCAGAAACACGCATACAAGACCCAAGTGTGGTTATTCACCTAACCCCACCTGGCCAACAGGTTGAATCTGCAAAATTCACCTTGAGGGTGTCAGGAGATGCCACAGCTAGTTCACGAGGATTAGCTGGCGTAGGGATAGCTTTGAGTACTAGGGCAGAAAAGACATTGCTTGACTGGATCCCGGTAGATAGCCGAATGTGTGCTGTCCGTCTGAACGGATCAGTAAGAAGGAGGAAGGACTGCACTACTCGCCGATGCCTTTTCGTAATCTCCGCCTACGCCCCCACTGACTGCAGTTCAGATGAAACGAAGGATGAGTTCTACCAAAAGCTGTCTAGTTTGGTGAGAAAGGCTAAACGCTCAGACATAGTCGTTCTAGCTGGTGACTTTAACGCTCAAGTAGGGAAATTGTGTCAATCTGAGAAGGATGTCGGTGGCACCTATGGAGTTCCGTGCCAGCGAACCGACAACGGTGACCGTCTCCTACAGTTCTGTTCTGATAATCATTTGTTTCTTGTAAGCACTAACTTCAAACACAAGGAGAGACACTGTTTGACTTGGAGACCCCCTTCATCAAACCAACGCTGGACACAAATAGACCACATAGCAATAAGCTATCGTTGGCGTGGGTCGGTAGGAGATTGTCGCTCCTTCTGGAACACGTGTGTAGATACCGACCATGCACTGGTCCGCGCTCGGGTGTGCTTACGACTGAACGGACGTAGGAAACAGCTGGCGGTAAAACCATCACGTCCCCAGCTCGATCAGGAAACTAAATCCCTATTTGAGGAAGAACTAGCTAAACACATATCTGTGTTCGACAGCTGTGCTCACCCTGAAGAAGCTTGGAAGAATATCCAGGCAGCCATAGATACAGCTGTAAAAGCTGTGAATAAGGTAAACCCAAAGGTGAGTAAAAACCACTGGATCTCCACCGCCTCATCCGAACTGATAGATGCTAGAAGACTTATTCCGGCGAGCTCCGAATTCAATGAGGAGCGAAAGCTGCACAAAAGGAAACTTACGAAAAGTCTCCGCAAGGACCGTGAACAGTGGTGGGTGACAAAAGCCAAAGAGATGGAGAAAGCTTTGAGGATAGGCAACACCAGGCAACTCTTTAGACTCATCAGGGAAACGGGTGGGAGAAGACAAATCATTAGTGAGACAATCTCGGAAAAAAATGGCACTATAATTAGCTCCCAGGATAGACGACTGGATCGTTGGAAAGAGCATTATGAGGAGCAGTTTAATTTGCCCACAGCCACGCTCAACCTTCCGAGCATCCAACACCTCCCTGAATGGGATATAGACACAGGTCCTCCATCCCTAACTGAGGTTACTAAAGCTGTCACCTATCTGAAACTAGGCAAAGCAGCAACACCTGATGGAATGACTCCAGAGGTGTTTAAGTACGGTGGAGACAGCTTTCTGTCTGCATTAACTGAGGTACTAGGCAGCGTCTGGGAATCAGAAGAAGTCCCATCGGGTTGGTGTAAGTCACTGATTATCCCCATATACAAGAAGGGAGACAAGTCTTCCTGTGATAATCACAGAGGGATTAGCTTGACTAATATAGTATCTAAAGTTTTAGGCTCAATAATCATGCGTAGACTGAGTGGTGCTCGGGAAGCACAAACACGAGAGAGCCAGGCAGGCTTTAGACCAGGAAGAGGGTGTATTGATCATACCTAAGCCCTCCGACAGATTCTAGAACATAGGCATTCCTACCGGCGTCCAACAATCATTATATTTCTTGACCTAAAGGCAGCATTCGACTCTGTCGATCGAGAAGTTCTCTGGAGATGCTTGGCTGTAAAGGGAATTCCGAGAAAATATATTGCACTGATTAAGGCACTCTACTCGTACTCATACAGCCAGGTGAGGGCTTACGGCGAGCTGTCATCTGAACTGATGACGACCAGTGGTGTCCGTCAAGGATGCCCATTATCCCCTTTTCTATTCAACTTTGTCATAGATGTGTTAATGGACTTAACCCTAGGTGACTTCAGCGACTCAGGGATTGACTTGCTACCGGGGAATAATCTCGTTGACTTGGAATATGCAGACGATATAGTCCTTCTAGGCGAAGACGCTGACAAAATGCAGAGTCTTCTAAACACCTTGAGCCGCAATCTACGGATGTTTGGCATGCGATTCGCTCCCACCAAATGCAAGATGATGTTACAGGACTGGACTACATCGACGCCTAGTTTAAAAATAGGAAGTGAAGTGGTAGAGCACGTTGACCGCTTCACTTATTTGGGAAGTACCATCAGCCAGGGCCAACGGGTTGATCTCTGACGAAATCTCAGCACGAATACAAGGTCCTCGTTTCGCATTTACCGGTTTACGCCGACTCTGGCTTAGACGGGATGTTCGACTATCGACCAAAGGGCGGGTGTACTGCTCATCTGTCCGCTCCGTCCTCCTTAATGGCTGTGAGACCTGGCCACTGAGAGTGGAAGACATGAAAAGATTAGCTGTCTTTGATCATAGGTGCCTGCGCTCTATCTCCCGTGTGAAGTGGCATAATAAGGTGAGCAACATTGAAGTTAGGCGTAGAGTTCTAGGTAAACAGGGGAAATCTATCGACGAAGTCGTGAAGTTACAAAGACTGAGATGGTTAGGACATGTGTTACGTATGCCAAGTCACCGCCTTCCTCGACGGGCATTGTTCGCAGATATAGGGTCAGGCTGGAAAAAAGCTAGCGGCGGTCAAACAAAAACTTGGCACCAGTCAATGAAATCCACAACAGTTAGTCTAAGCCACGGAGGAAGGCTGGGGTCCTCGGGACGGTAAAAATCAATGGTTGGAAACAATTGGTGATATGGCTCAAAATCGTTCTCAATGGTCGGCTGGTGCAGATGCAACCACTCCTTGTGACTTATGATCTCCAATGAAACTGTTTTGTTCTTCGCTACTACTATTCCTTTGTCTCACACCTCTGTTTACTGTCTCTATTATGCATTTCTTCTACTTTCTTCTCTTGCTTTGTGAGCTACACGGAGTGTGGCGACTTGAACTTCCGCACATTTGTGTAAAGTTCTATGTCGAAAACAGACAGACAGCAACCTTGAAGGAACTCATGTCCCTTCTGAAATTCGAACCCGCGTCACCCAGTGAGTGGTGCTGTCAAAGACGTTATCACTGAGCTATTCAGGCTCGCGATTTACCTCCTGTAGGACTGTAGTGGGTATTTTCGATTGTACACTAGTCAGTAACTAGTGTAATGTGTCCATTCGTATCTTCTGTGAAGTATGATTTATTGTTTGATGTTTCAGTTGTAAATTGTAAGTAAATGACTCACTCCGACAACAGTCAAATTAGTTGGTATTGATTTCACATATCTTGTTCAAATCTAAACTCAGACGTATGTTTTATGTGGATCGTAGCATGGAAAATCCACCTTTTTTGGTATCCGTTATCCTGCGGTTTGAAGCAGTTTGTGCTGAATAGAATTATTAAAGCATCACCAAATGCTTACGCCCTGTTATCAATATTTACCAATCTCTGTACTTGATTATCTATTGAGATAACTGTGATGTAACCTAGACAGCACAGACAGGAACCCATTAGGTTATCTGTATCTACCTTTTAACAATTATAAAAGCTGCAGTGGACGGAGCAAAGTTTGAACTTATCATCACGTAGTTAGAGGTTAAGCGAACAGATTTCAATTAAACCCCATGGACTCTTAGTTAATCTCTGAACAGTGATTAACATATCTATAATATATTGTTGTAATCAACTGGTTCAATCATCCATCTCTTAACTGCACTTAATTTGTCTTTCATTGTAAAAGTATTTATTTATTTATTTGTAGACTGTAGGCCCTGCTGACGGGTCATCATTTCTTCGGCCTTACTACGATCCTTCAATAACTCTCCTCCACCGAACTAATTTCACCGTATATTCTGGCTGAATGCCTGTGAATGATATTGAGAAGAAAAAAGTGTAGCTCAATTCTGCGTTTAAGATACTTACGTCTGCTGCTAACTCTTATCAAAAGTACTCCAGTTTTGCTTCATTTAGCTAGTCTCAAACAACCTGTCAAGGCCACTCTAGAGATTTGGTGTCCTTCAGATATAGCTATCAAATACTGTCCACAATTAAAATTTGTTCACGTGAGAAACCTACATACACGAAAAGGTGTTCTTCGCAAAGCTCGGATTCGTGAGTCTGACATAGTAGCTATTGAAGTCTGTACAGATAAAAATGTCAGATAATTCATTCCGACTACTAGGTGATACTCCACCCGTGCCTCCAAAAAAGCGTGCTCGACTTGATTTATCATCTGTCTGCTCTACTAATACCTCAACAGACTCTATCTCTTTCTGCCCCGAAAATATGCATTTAGTTTCTGTGCTTCGGAATGATCCTCGCAGCAAGTGTTTGGTTCTTCACACTCGTTTTGGCGATGATTTAAAGGAAGCCATTGTAACACTCCAAAAGTCATCATTTCCAAACGATGCTGACACTTTAAAACGTTGCAAAGTAGTTAACAAACTGATCGTCCATAAGGAAGATAACAATGAAGACAGCTGCCTTAAACAAGACGAATCAGTGAATATTGAAGAAAATAACTCTTTTCCTGAATGGCAAGCCAAATCAATTATGAGTAATGATGTGTACCATCGCTTCCTTGTAACAAATGGTTTGGAATCAGTTAACGGTGTTGATATGACTGTAATTTATCCTGCTGAGTCACATCACTTTGCAAAATTTACCGGTTCTGGTCGTCATATCATTCAGGAAACTCCAGAAATGTTTAAAGACGTTATTCTCCCTTTCTTGTCTGAAAAGCCTAAAGATCTCACTTGGATTGATAATATAATAGCAGGAACTGCTGAACAAGACCGTGTTCTGTACACTGATGTAAATGAAGAGTATGGTTTCACACTAGTACTGGACTATCAGTGGGATGGAACACGCTTGCAAGAACTCCATTGCCTAGGTATTGCTCATAATGAAAAGCTAACATGCCTACGTGATCTACGTCGTTGTCATGTTCCAATGTTGAAAAAGATTTTGCAGCAGGGTCGCAATCTGCTTTCTGATAAATACAGCAAGCCGAATGTTTCCGATAATCAAACGTGCCATAATGATCCCAAAGTTCGTCTATCAAAAGATCAAATTCTTGCATATTTACATTATCCACCAACTTTCTACAGGCTTCATGTTCATTTCATGCATGTAGATTCAGGAGATAGTGGCACTATCGCAGGCAGAGCCCATATACTAGAAGAAATTATCCGTAATCTTGAACAAGATGATTTTTATTATACTAACCGTACAATCACTATCTTTTCACATGATCAAAGTCCTATGTACAAAGCTATTTGTGCAAGTCGTCTCCTAGAATCTACTGAAGATTCAGTAACTGAGTAAATTATGTTTCTTGATAAGAACTGTGTAAGATTTAATACAAATATATAGTTTGTTGTACTGTCTCCGTTTTTAGTTTTAGCATTATCAGTTTTAGTTTTAATGTGTACTGTGCAACTGAAATGTTTCACTACTGTGAGTGCTGCAGCAGATTTTTGGGAATAGAATACCTGTAGTTAAGAGCAGCGCGTGCGTATGTATATGATGAGATGTGGTCAACTGGCTTTAATATTTCTTTTTACACATTAGGTATCAAGTTTCAATTCCACACCAACTTTTTCTATGAGACGAGGGTAATTATATCATAATCTTTTACAATCTAGTAGATAAATATCTACATTACACTACTTTGTGTACGCTGTTCTAGATAATAGCTAACTGGATTTTCAGCTGCTTGTCCAACAAAACTACGCGACGAATTATATAAATTAGGAAATCAAAGGTTTGGTAAATATTGTTTTGATTCGCATTACGTTGAAATTGAAATAGGAGCACCGGGTTGGACAAATGTGCTCATCACTAATACCGCTTGACTATGCCAGCAACATTATACAAGAGCTCCCTGTTTTCCTAGCCTGTGCTACTTAAGCGTGGACACGGTGACGTGAGCTGAAAAGTATATTTTACGCCATAATGTATGATTCAAAGTGTCATCAGGGATATGTCATTTAGTTTGCGATCATGTGATCAGTAAACTATTGGCGTTATTTTACGTTGGCCAGTTGCGACTGGTTTATTTGCAGACTGGACATCTACCACTATATCATCATCCTCTTCAGAAAACACTTATTATTAAGGGTCAACCTGGAACCAAACCATTTATTTTCTGCACCTGGCCGACCGGCGCTGAGAGAGTGGTCTGCTTACTGGAAGGTTTAGAGCACTTATGGCCTCTTTCCTATCAGAGCGTGAGGAGCATCACTTCTCATAATGAAACATCTAGCTCAGGTTTCTTTGGTTGAGAGACGGGCGTACCGCCATTTGGCGGACATAGAGTACGAACACCGACGATGCTTTGCGGACTGGTGGGGAACGGCGATGTGTCAAAGATAGCTGTTGTATGTGTTGCTGGCTAAAATCATCTTTATGTCTAACATTATTAAAGTTTTGGCATTGGTGCGGAAAAGTTTTGATGAAGTGCCAAGCACTACAACGCAAGCAGGGTGATGGATGTTTCATCTTTGATCATCAGTTGATATTATATGAGTAACTGACACGATGGCCGTTTTAAGTAGGACCAGGGAGATGTGGGGCCAGAGGTTTTGAGAGGTCTGGCGAGCTGTATTTGTTTCAGGACCACCCTGGCGTCCAGCATAGTCCAAATTGGTTGTTGGAGAATTTTGTCTAACGTCGAAAAATCCCACAATCCCGTTGCCACAGTGGTTGGGACTGCCGTCGACCATGCACTTGGCCCGATCCCCTGCTGACGCACACCCGATATCTATGATCGGCCTGCGAAATTTGGGCTACCGATATCCACGCTGAAAATTCCATACCTGTACCAAAAAGTACTGTGTGAAATCAAAATAAAATCAAAAAAATTCTTGTCAAGCATTTTAAAAACGCTATATTGAGATACACATCTGTCAGCTAGCAAACATTTCACGGACAACAGTCAACTGGGCTGTGTATTTAAAGTTGGCATACAAGACCTGAGTGTGTTTATTCACTTGACGGCAATCAGCCAACAAGGTAAATCTTCAAAATCCACATTACGGGTAACAGGACATTCCTCAGCTAGTTTTAGTGGTCGCTCAGGTGTAGGGATAGCATTAACTGTTGGGGCAGCAAAATCTTTTCTTGACTGGATCCCAGTAGATAGGCGTATAAGTTGCGAACCGTCTAAACAGGTCCGTTAGAAAAAGGAAAGACAGCATTACTCATCGTTGTCTTTTGGTAGTCTCCGTTTACGCACCAACCGACTGCACTTCAGATGAACTAAAGGATGATTTCTACCAGTAACTGTCTAGCTCACTGCCAAAAGCAAAACACTCAGATATAGTTATTTTAGCAGGCTACTTCAATGCCCAAGTAGGGAAGTTGTGCCAGACTGGGAGGTATGTAGGTGGTACGTACGGAGTTCCCTCATGACGAACCGACAATGGTGATCGTCTTCTACAGTTCTGTTCAGATAATCATTTGTTCGTAGTCAGCACTAACTTTAGGCACAAAGAGAGACACTGCACAACCTGGCGACCTCCATCACCAAATCAACGCTGGACTCAGATAGACCACATAGCCATAGGGTATCGTCGGTGAGGGTCAGTAGAAGACTGCTGCTTCTTCTGGTACACGTGTGTAGACTCTGATCACATCCTGGTTTGCGTACGTTTATGCTTACGGTCAAATGGTCATAAGGTGCTGTTGACAGTGAAGTAGTTACGTTACCAACTAAATCAAGACACTGAGTCACTATTCAAGGAAGAATCAGTGAAACGAGTATCTGAGATCAACAGCAAGAGCCCCCCCCTCCGCTGAGGAAGCCTGGCACAATACATAGTTAGCCGTAGACTCAGTTGTAAAAGCTGTTAATAACTTATGAGGGCGAAAGCTGCTCAAACGAAAACTAACAAGAAGTCTTCGCAGTGATCGTGAAAAGTGGTGGGCGACAAAAGCGAAAGAGATGGAAAAGGTATCGGTGATAAGTAACACCAGATAACTATTTGGACTGATCAGGGAAACAGGTGGTAAGAGGCAAATAATAAGTGAAGCAATCTCTGAGAAAAATGGCATCATAATTAGCTCTCAGGATAGATGACTAGAATTTTGAAACGAACACTTTCAGAGGGAAATTTAACTGACTTACAGCCACGCTCAACTTACCCAACACCTCACTGAATGAAATATGAACACAGGTCCTCCGTCCCTAACTAACGTTGCGAAAGCCGTCACTAATCTGAAGCGAGGCTAAGCAGCGGCACCTGTTGAAACCATTCCTGGGGTGTTTGAGGACGGTGGAGACAGTTTACTGTCTGCGTTAACTAGAGTATTATGCAGCGTCTGGGAATCAGAGGTAGTCCTGCCGGGACTGGTGTAAGTCACTGATTATCCCGATACACAAGAAGGAAAACAAGTCTTCCTATGATAATCACAGGGGGATCAGCTTGACTAATGTGGTATCTAAAATTCTAGACTCAATAATCATGCGTAGGCTAAGCGGTTCTTGGGAGGAACAAAGACGAGAGAGCCAGACAGGCTCTAGACCAAGAAGAGGACGTTCTGATTGTATCTTCACCCTTCAACAGATTCTGGAACGGAACATAGACATACTTACCGACGTCTAACAATCGTCGTATTTCTTGACCTAAAGGCGGCATTCGATTCCGTCAACTGAGAGGTACTATGGTGATGTTTGACTGTGAAGGGAATGACGAGAAAATACATTGCACTGATCGAGGCACTGTACTCGAACTCGCGGGCTCGTTTCGCATATGCCAGGTCATGCCATTTCTGACATAGACGTGATATCCGACTATCGATCAAAGGACGTGTATACTGCTCAACAGTCTGCTCTGTTTTCCTTTATAACCGTGAAACCTGGCCATCGAAAGTAGAAGACATGAAAAGCCTGACAAGTTGTCTTTGATCATAGGTGCCTGCGTTGTATCTCCCGTGTTAAGTGGTATAGTGGGGTGAGAGCAGTATTGAAGTGAGGCATCGGTTGATTGCTAGGTAAGTAGGGAGGAGAAATCAATCGAGGAGGTTGTGAGATGGTTAGGACATGTGTTACTCATGCATGAGGCCTGGGTCTCTCCTTCTTCGATGGGTAGTGTTATCTGACACCGAATGGATGGGTCAGGTTGGAAAAGAAGTGCTGATGGTTGCGGTGAAACGAAAACATGACCTTTTCTCTGGTATTTGATTTATTTTTTGCCGACGAATGTCTCTTTTTACATCTGATAAATCTCGCCAGTAGAACAAGCCACACAGTGAGTTATTTATTTATGTTACGATGAACAACATTAAGTGGCACTACACACACTCTGTATATCTCGACCATTTCGCTATCGCATACGCCAGTAAATATGTTAGTAGTATCTACTTTTCTAACACCTTCAGACAATGTTTAAATTTTGGCTTTGCTACCGACATGCTAATATGTTATTGTCAAAACTGATTGAGATAACTTTAATCTATGTAGAACTTTATTTATTGTTAACGTACTAACTGGAGGCAATATTGTAGTAAAAATGCTGAGAATTCCATTCTGTATCACAAGTACTGATTTGGAATAAAGCTATTATCTTATCTTATCTTACAAATTTCTTAGTAGTCAATATACACATGTAATAAGAATAAAGATGATTAGCGTAAAGTATAAGGAGGGGTTAAGTTGAAGTGGACGAATTACTGAATATGTGAATTTCTTACAAAGAATTTTTAAGTAAGTTGCCTGCCATTTTTAGATGTACTCATAACCCGCCGAGAAGATGGGTCAATAAAACTATCTGTCTACAGGAAGTCAACATGGACTGGACAGTATCTAAATTACTATAGTTTCTGTCCACTACAGTATAAAAAGGCGTTGAATAAATGTTTTTTCAAGCGCGTTCACCGTATATGTACCGCCGATACAATTGAAGAAGAAAGACAACATCTTAGTTTGTTTATTAAATGTATCACACAGTGAAACAGTATTGTATACTGGATGACGTTTCGAACACAATTTATTGTTCATAATCATATCAAGATAGCATCTCACTGATATATTGTTAGATAGCAATTACCCACTGAGATTTATTAGACGTTACGGAAGTGTCAACCATATAGCTTTACCAATCCAATCAGTTCCCAAAAAGGATGTTTACATATCCTTGCCGTTCAGAGGTGATCAACAAAGTCTAGTCATTAGACAAAGACTAAAGGCCACAATTAATAAAACCTATTATGCAGCTAAACTTATCTTCATAGAGAAAACGAAAACTATGCTGTCCTGTAAACCCTCACATTATCCGGACGATAGTGTCACATCCCACTGTGTTTATCAATTTACATGTATGTGTGGAGACACGTACATAGGGAGGACCCATCGGTCTCTGCATGTTAGGACTACAGAACACATTCCAA